TAAACAGAAGTTAATTTCCCTGGACTTTAAGATGAAGGTCAGGAATGCTTTAATGTCACAAATTTCCTCTTATGATATTCTTCTACCTTTATCTGGATCTTCTCTTTTCTTATCTCTGTTGTCTGATTAAATTTTATTCCCAGTAGTTTTTCTTCAGGATGCTCTGACCTAATTACTAGGGTGAGTCAAAAAGTACTGCTACAATGGTTCATTCAGGCATACATAGTTTTAATCCCAAAAATGCATATTTAAACATGTCTCTGCTATCCATAGATGGCTGCAGACATGTCCCCTTAGCCTTGTGAGAGTGCCTTAAATATACATATAAATTGTGTATATATATTGTGTATATATATAATTTCTATGTATTTGTGCAGTCTATGTATTTGTGCAATCTATATATATATATATTGGCTTACAAGGGGAACTGCTGGGTCAGTTAAATTCAAGGTAGAAATATCCACTCAGAAGATTATGTTTTGGGGAATCCAAAGGACTCATGTTCATCTTGAAAATTTTTCTTTAACAACACAGGAAAATCACCCAGGCTTATGATGACAAAGTTTTACGAAACGTGAAAGCTGCTTTGCAGAGAAAAAAGCCAGGATAGTTTGTCAAGAAATTTTTCCATCACAATAATGCACCTCTCATTCTTCGAGCATAGTAAGGACTGTCCTTTGAGGATTTTGTTGGGAAACTTTACCCCTTTCCAGCTTATTGCTCTGATCTTGTCCCTTCAAATTTCTTTTGGTTATCAAAAATCAGAGAACATTTAAAAAGTACACAATTTGAGACCCCTAGGGGTGCTAATATTGCCCTTTTGACATAGTGTAATTCAAAGAGTTCAGAATTCTTCAGGGAAGGAGTGAAGCAGTGCGGGATGGGATTGGGGATGGAGTTGCAAAACAGTACCTATGCTTTATCTTGGATTGTGGGTTATAGTAAAAATGTTTTTAACGGCCAGAGTGGTATTGAGTACTTTTTTTTGTCCAAATATATTTGGGAATCTATATCTTAGATGGAAACACTACTTTCAGAAGTTTATAGACCTAGATGGAAGATATATTAAGAAATAATACTTTCACATTTTGATAAATAAATATTTCTATAATTTCTTTTTTTCATTATGAGATCATTTATTGGGGGCTCTAACAACTCTTATTACAATCCATACATCGATTGCATCAGGCATATTTGTATATATGTTGTCATCATTCTTTTCTAGACATTTACTTTCTATTGAACTCTTGGTATCAGCTCCTCCCCACTCCCAACCGCATAACCCCTTGATAGCTTATAAATGATTATTATTTTTCATATCTCACACCAACTGCTGTCTCCCTTTCCCCATGGTTTCTGTTGTTCTTCCCCCTGGAGGGTTGTGTGTGGTTATGTGTTAATCTTTGTGATCAGATCCCCTTTCTTCCCCTCCTCTCCTCCCTTTCCCCCTACCCTTCTGGAATCACTACTCACACTCCTTTTCCTGGATTGTGTGTGTCGTGAATTCTCATCTCTGATCTATACCTGTGTACATGCTCCAGTCTAGTCTGAACTGAGTAGCAGCACGGGGTCATGATAGTGGCAGGTGAAGAAGCCTCAGGGAACCAGAGGAATAGTGTGTGTTTCATCAGTGCTTTACTGCGCCCTGGTTAACTCATCCCTTCCCTGTGACCCCTTTGTGGGGGGATGTTCCGTTGTCTACAGATGGGCTTTGGGTCTCTGCTCTGAACGCCCTCGTTCTCAACAATATGTTTTCGTTTGTTTGTTATGGGTCTTCTGATGCTTGTTATCCGGTCCTGATGACACCTCATGAGTGCACTGGCTGTATAATTTCATAGCAATATTTTTGACTCGCTCTCACAGTGAGTCAATTTTGAGAATTCACTAGCTAAGCAATGGGCTGCTAAGTAAAAGGGCAACGGTTTTAACCCACCAGCTGCTCCAAAGAGAGGAAGCTGTGGAGACCTCTGAGGCAGTTCTACTGTTCTATTGCTGCTCCCTGGTGGGACTGACCTGGACAGCAGTAGGTAAGCTCCTTTGGTTTAGACTACTCTAGTCCCTTAGGTCTTTTGTTTCGTTTTACAGTGGGTCCTTTTTACAACCAACTTTGGAAAGCATAAAACCTTTTAATTTCAAGTACTGCTATCAAATTTGCTCTAGTAGTTTCCAGTGAGTTCCTGCCAGCTATTTTGGAGTTCTGCTTTCAGATCCATCAGCTGTTGTCTTCTTCCCTTCCCATCCATTGCTTCTTCCCTCTTCTCATGCAGCTGCAAAGACAGTTCTAGGTGTTGGTAGTTTGGCTCCACCTATTTATATTTTGGAGTTTATGGGGACACCAGAATCTACTGGTTTGGGTATGAATAGGCTATAGACTTAACATTTTTGTTCTTTGCTTTTTTTTTGTAATGTGAAGACATCTTAGAATCCATTCCTTCCCCAAACTTCTTTTCCCCAATACTAGCTTTTGAACCACTGTGGCCTACTGAGGTACATTATCTTTTAAGTCCTTCTTAATAAGCGCAGCTGGTATCCCTTGTAATGCCTGTCTTTTATTAACTGTCATTATTATAAGAATCAAACACTTTGAAAGACATTGTTTTGATGAACCAAGTTTTAAAAATATACTTAAAGTGGAATATATATAGTGATACCTTGGTTGTCAAATTTAATTTGTTCTAAATTTGTGTTCAAATACCAAAAAGTTCAAGAACTAAGCAAATTTTTATCATAAGAGATAACGGAGAACAAAATAATTGTTTCTGAGGCCCAAAAATTACACTTAAAATTTTATTTTTCCAAAACTCTAAATCACTATGGAGACTTTTAGCCTTGTTGCATATCATTGACTCAAGTATGCTATAGCCATCAAGTTGTTTCTGATTTATCCTAACAAACAGTAACTTTTCAAACTCTTCAATGATCGCGGTCCTTTGTTTTGTGGTGGATGATTTCACACTTTTTGCTACATTAGCTGCTTTAATAACATTTCTCCCCACCAAAATGTTAAGCAGCCACCTGATTCAAATTTCAAAACGACTTTTTTCTTTAACTCGATTGTGGTTCTCACGATGGTTTTCCTCTGAGCTTTACTGCTGGTATCACTAGCTTTCTTTAGAAGCATGCTTACGATATTTTACGCAAAAAAAGCACACACGCACACAAAAGCACAATGATCAATGTTTTAAAGCACTAACACAAGCACGATGTGTTGAGTGGCAATTGGACTGAAGTGTCACCCTTTTGTCCGTGACAAGAGACACGAAGAGTGAGGAACTCTCAGCCGAGCAGGTTTATTCAAGTCAGATTTTTGGTTCGACTATCGAACAAAGTTATGAACACTGAACATTTTTTTAAAAAACAACTTCGCTGTCCAAATAGTGGAAAGTTCGGAGATTGGAGCTGTTCAACAACCAAGGTATCACTGTATATGTTTTTAAATCCCTGGTTCTACCTCCATTAAAGTTTTTACAGAGCTGGTCATCAGTGTTCATGTTATGAAATTGCCTTCATGAGTTTATTTTTGTTCTTCAATAAACCAATTCGTGGGACTAGAGAGAAGCCAAGATATTTTCACCAAACCAAACATACCACAGAGTATAACATAAAAACTTTACTAAGTGAGTTACCTATTATCAAGTCATTCCGAATAACACATTGTTGTTTTTTCACTTCTGAGACAAAATGATTAATGCACTAAATGCTTGGTAAGTGAAGTATTCAGAACTGGCGTATTTAGCTGTCTCCATTCTCCCAATGCACTGGCATATTCATAAATCTAACTCAAGCTACGTTCCAAATAAATTAAAGATAAACTTGCTTTGGGAATATTGGGTAAACGTTTCCTCACATGCCAAATATGAATACAACAACAAAATCCTTTCCAGATTTTAACTCTACTTTCACGCTTTTAGTGCTTTAAATAAACAAAAAAACAAAACAAACTATGATGAACACCATGTTTTTCACTGGATTATTTTCCCCCAGAATTAATCTAATACCTATCCACCACAACTGATTCGATTTACTATAGAAATTTCACAACCAGTTATTTTCTATAAAACACTTATTTGTCAAATTCATTAGCTCAAAGGCTAGTTTATTTAATATACTCCTATTGTATTTTCATAAGTCTAACATATGAACTATAGTTTTGAAATCTACCATAAATACTGCCCTGGGCATTATGTACCAAACATACTTGTAATGCTGTTATCACTCGTCTTTTCCTGCCCCATGCAGTCATTATAAAGCCTCCAAACGCTCTCAGGGCACTAATGCACTGTCAATCGGTTAGGCCACCCTGGGGCTCTGGGGGTCTAGTGGTTAAAGCACTGGGCCGCTAACGTGAAGCCGGCGGTTTGCGTCCACCAGCACTCCGCGGAAGCGGCGTCGTTCGCTCGCAGGAAGATTTAGCGCCTCGGTCACCCTCAGGGGCCGTTCTACGCCCAGGTCGCTGCGAGTCGGAACTGACTGGACCGCCACGCGCTGGGTGGGCTTGCGTTTCTCACAAGAGGAAGCCAAGCCCAAGTAGGAACCACCCGCGACGTCGGGCGAGGCGTTGATGGAGTGGGATGGAGCTTCTTCGCAAAGTAAACAACCTATCGGCGGAAGTAGGGGTCAGTCCCTGCAAGGGTCTGCGGTTGGGGACGGGGAGATGTAGGATGATGTCAACTGCACCTGCGCATCCTCTGTAAACGGAAAGGCCCTGCTGAACTCACGAAAAGCGTTCCTTGTAGGATTTCATTTCAGAATCGAGGAAGGCACTGCGTGCCGGGCGAGTTGTCAGAACTGTCGTGAACCCTGCGGCTCTACCCACCGAGATACCACCTGGGTCTCTGCCTTCATTCGGTTCATGCCTGGGCCCTCAAACCTTGCATCTCCACTCCGCTCGCCACTATCCGCAGATGGCAGGCAGAGGAGGCTGCACCGCTCCAATGTCAGGGTGCAGGGCCGCGCCGCCTCCGCGACCGTCGGCCTGTGGGACGACCGAGCTCACCCACCTGATGCTCCTTCACCACTTCGCTGAGGCAGGGATACCGCTCCGAGATCCATCGGTAAAACTTGGGGACTCCCATTTCGACCGCCAACTCCAATTCCACTGAGGGCCCAGCCGAAACCGAACGCCCCGCCGGGGCCTGCGCCGCCACCTCCGGCCGTCGCTCCGCCGATGACAACACGCGGCCCAACCGACCATAGAGAGCGCCCGCCCGGCCGGCTAGAGCGGCGGGACCAGAGGCCGCGTCCCTCGGCCCGGCTGACTCCGCGTAAACGCGCCCAGCACTTTCTGCGAATCCTACACTCGGTTGTGAAAAATCCAGGGATCAAACTATGCTCCGTGGATTGAAAACGTGGCTCACGAGACCACGGGAAGAACAGTGAAACACCGATTTTGTCCTTGCAGCTTCCGGCTACTGGGCTTGCTAATCACAGTATTTTTATTTTCTAGCAGATTTGGAAAGGTCTGGTGATTTGGGTGTTTGTCTAACGAAGTAAAATTATTTTCTTCTGGGTCTGTAAATCGACAACAAAATTTCTTAATCTTGTTTTTTACATTGTTTTGCTTGTTACTGTAAATAGTTGGGTTTTTATATTCTTTTTGGTGTATAATGGACCCTTCCCCGCCCCTCCCCCCCATTACACTTGACTTTATGATGGAGCAAATAATTATATGAAGTAAATTTACATGAAACTATCATTGTTCTAAATTTCATTTATTTTAATATAATATGCTAATTACTTGGTAATGATTATAAATTACTTTTAAATTTCACCCCCCTCTCCCCAAAGCTTAATATTTTAAAACTATGGTTTTTGCTTTGTTTTTGTTTTTTTTAAATCATTTTATTAGGGGCTCATACAACTCATCACAGTTCATCATACATCAATTGTGTAACACATATTTAAATCTCTTGACATTCCAAATATCGATCTTGCATAACCACTAAGCTCTGCATTGTTATACTTCAACACAGCAGCATCTTTAAGGAATGTGTAGTTTTCACATTCATGCTTTTTTCCCTCTTATACTTTCAAAGCAAACCAAAAGCAGAGTTCTACTAAGTAAACTTAGTAATGTGCATTTATGTTCTCTTTCTCTCTTACTCTTACTTCCTGCAGGGCAGTTCCTCTGTGCATCAGCCTAGCACACTGCTTCGCCCACAGTATTTATTTGCTGTAAAGTTTGTTGTTGTTCAAATGAATCCTTATGCTAACTAGTAGGTTTAAAAACAAGTCCATGTAAGTTGTAAAATAAAATTAGGCTGGCTTGTTTCTTGCAAATATGTTTTGTAGACAGAAAGGCAGATTATGTTTGATTTCTCCAGTTATAATACACAGTATGTATTAAAAAAGTCATTTATTTCTTAATAACATACTATTTTACATATTAACAATCAAGAAATAACATGAGTTGTGCTAAGAATATAAATGATGTTGTGCCTTGGAAATAGATACAACCAATTAATACCAAATGCAGTAATTTTACATGACAAACATATCCTTTGAAGTAAATTCATTTCACATATAAGGTGTCCAACCGAGGTACATTTGGCATAGTAAATTTTCATCAGTAGCTTCTTGTATGAGGTAATGCACATGTCCTTCAATCGACAATGGCAGCCCTGTCACTCTATTTCGAGTCTTGATTACACCTTGTAATCGCTGCTCAATGTCAAGAACATGAGTCTTGGCCTAAAATGAAGAAACAGAAAATAAATGCTAAGAAACCAATAATGTAAACATAAATAATTTGGAATGACTACCTTGTAAGATCATTACTTGTACGATTTTACTGATCATAACTGTTTTTTTGTTAAAAGAAAAATACAGAAAAAGAAAGAAATGAAACAAAATGTCTAAGCCAGTGGTTCTCAACCTTCCTAATGCCGTGACCCTTTTAATACAGTTCTTCATGTTGTGGTGACCCCCAACCATAAAGTTATTTTTGTTGCTACTTCATAACTGTAATTTTGCTACTGTTATAAATCGGGCAACCCCCAAAGGGGGTTCCCACAGGTTGAGAATCACAGTCTTAAGATAAGTGATTTCAAGGTTGGTAATGTTAAATGTTAAATATCAATTTGCTTGGACATTTTTCTCAACTATATGAAATAGCAGAAAATCCCTTCCACATTACAATTCTAGAAAAGTAATTTTGAAAAATCTGCTTTCAAAGTGTGAGAACTTAAACATCTGAATGGATGTTCAATGTCTACTATTTAGGTTATATTCGTGCACACAAATGGCAGCTCTACACTACTGGAGTTCTATACATTTCTCTCAAACAGAAAAGCTTATCAGAAAACGAGTGAAAGTGAAAAATTATCCCTAACCTACTTTATATTATTAGAAGTATCTGGTTACCTGAAAACTTTTAAGGTTTTGAGTAATATTCATAAGAAGTGAACTGTTACTCTGTCAAGATGGATTGTGGCACACTGGTGTCATGCTGAAGCTGAGTCTTGCTATGTAACTTTAGGCAATCTGTCGTGTTTTAATATGATTGTGAATTGCCTATGGTTAAACAATTGTTCTTTGAACGGTTTTATTACATATATGATAATAGCATTAACAATAAGCACAACAAAGAAAATTTAGGGCATTGCCATAACACAGTGGTTCTCAACCTTCCTAATGCCGTGACCCTTTAATACAGGTTCCTCATCTTGTGGTGACCCCCCCCAACCTTAAAATTATTTTCATTGCTACTCCATAACTAATTTTGCTACTGTTATGAATTCAGTGATCCCTGTGAATCACCGTTCGAACTCCAAAGGGGTTGCGAACCACGGGTTGAGAACCGCTGCCCTAAAAGAATGAGATTTCAGGGAAATCACTAGCCAGTCACTGGCAGGATTTAGAATCAGTTCTTATTTGTAGAGATAAACGGTATCAGCTTCTATCAAGCTACATCTTCTACTAACCTTTTCATTGACAACTTCCCCAGTTTCATTAATTGGTGTTTTGGAATTCCCTTTTACTGGTTTACTCCACTCCACAAGAGGATCATGTAGAAAAGTCTTTAGGACACTAAAATGGTGAGAAATATTAAGGTAATAATGCAATATTATCTCTGCACAAAGAGCTTACAAGAATTAGAAGCTACTGATTGTTCATAGTGCTACAAAAATCACTTTTCTATTTTTTCCATAACCTATGTAAAATTATTGTTTTAAGCGTGGAGGGAGGGCAAGAGAAAGGTGGTAAAGAGACAAAATAGAATGGCAGAGGTGGTCTGTGGAAGTAGAGTAAGATGAGTTCAATATGCCATCTCTAATGTGTAATTAGTAAATCAATATCCAATGAATCAATTTCATCCACTGCCTCACCTTCAATCACCATATAATAATACATTGGGGTTCAAAATATTTGTGGAAAAATTCCATTATTTTCTTATTCCTTTTTTCTAAGAACTCTGTGAAGCCCCTTCATATCTATAACTACCAATAGACTCAACCTAGATCTTGTGTGTTCTCAATGACAAATTTAGTTACTTATGGGAACTATATAAATAGATGTCTTATAGGTTAGTTATGTCCAAAGCAAAACTCTTACATTTTATCAAGCTTAATATTTCTTCTGTATTCCAAATCACTTAAAAGCAAAACCATTAACAACAGAAAATAACAATTCCATCTGCTTGTGACAGAAATTCAGTAATCATCATGGCCTTGTCCTCCTCCTCTAACCCAATTCTACCTCTTCAGAAGTTCTCTCCTTTACTTCCACCCTGTTTGTCCTCCCCAGGAAACCCATTTTTTCTACAATGAAAATATTAACTCATTTTAATTTTTCCTCTTATCTATCTTAAAATACCCCATCAGTTAATGCCGCTGTCATGGCAAAGTTGAAATGTATAAATGGGCCTGGTGAAGGACCTTCATAATCTAGCCCTTCTCATATGCCCAGCATCATTTCCTCGTAGTCCACTACTGATTTCTTTCAGTGCATCGGCTTTCACTGGCCTTAGTCTTTGTATCTTCCCCCTTTTACAGTTCACTCAATTTTAAAGTCTTGGCAACTTCCTCCAGAAATCATTTCCTGGCATACCAAGATTAGGAAAGGCATTCCTAGTATGTCACAAGAGTCTATAATTCCTCTTTCATAGAACTTGCCTTGTTCTATATGTCAGTCTAACTAGCCGTATAGCAAACAAGCCATAATATTTGACAGTTTTTCAATAAGGATGGATAAATTAATTATCAAGGTCCTTGGTACTGAGTTTGGTTTCAGTTTATGAGTAAAAACTTCCCACGTCTAAGATCACATTGAATGGTGAAAAAATGTTTTCTTCCCCCGAGATCAGGAATAAATCAAGGAAGTCCACTCTCACATGTCAATTCAGTGGGAGCGTGTAGCCAGGGCAATTAGGCAAGGAAAAGAACGAAAAGGCATCCAGACTAGGAAGGAAGAGTAAAACTACCTCTATTCTCTGAGGACTTTATTTTGTACATGGAAAATCTGATGTTTCACAAAAAATAAATATTAGTAATAGTGAGTTCTACAAGGTTGCAGCATGCAAGATCAACAAGCATCTGTTGCCTTTCTATACAATACCACCCAGAAATGAAATGAAGAGAACAATTCTATTTAGAATAAGATCAAAAGTAAGAAAATTAGAATATTTTTAAATTAAGTATTAGAGTCATACTAAAACTGTTGGGCACTATAGATAGAAATTAAAGAAGACTGAAATAAATGGAAAGAGTCATGTCCATAAATTGGAAGACAATATTATTACAACGGTACAGAGTAATCCCTTATCCAAACCCTGCTGACTTTATATAGGGATTGAGAAGCTGATCTTAAATTTCACATTGAAATGCAATAGAGAAAACATCTTGGGGGTGGGGAAGAAAGGAATAAAACGGGAGCTCTTACATTCCCAAATTTCAAAACCTAAAGATACAGTAATCAACATGGTGTGTTCTTGGCATAAGGATATATACATAGATCACTAGAACAGAAATCAGAGTCCAGAAATATACCCTTACATTGATGCTCAACTGATTTTCAACAAAAGTGTCAAAATAATTAAATGAAGGAAAAATAGTCTTTTCAAAAGATGATGGTGGAACTAGATTTCTATATATAAAATAATTACAGACCAGTTAAACCATATGTAAAAATTAACTCAAAATGTAATGAACATCGAAATGTAAGAGTTAAAACTATAGAACTCTTGGAAGTAACAAATCAACCAACAAAAAACCCAAACCCAATGCCATGTAGTCCGTTCTAACGCACAGTCACACTACTGGCCAAGTAGAGGGGCCCACAGGGTTTCCAAGGCTGTAATCTTTATGGAAGCAGATTGCCACTGCTTTCTCCTGTGAAGTGGTTGGTGGGTTTGAACTGCTGACCCTTTGGTTGGCAGCCAAGTATTTAACCACTGCACCACCATAGAGAAACAGAAGTGTAAACCATTATGAAATTAGATTAGGCAATTGTTTTTAGATATGGTACTTAAAGCATAGCTACTAAAGGAAAAAATAGATAAATTGAACTTAAAATGAAAAATTTAATGCTTCAAAGGGCATTATCAAGTAATTAAAAGGCAGTATACAGAATGTAAAGCCTGGTGGTGTATTAGTTAAGTGCTAGGCTGTTAACCAAAAGCTCAGAAACCACTAGCCATTCTGTGGGAGGATAATAGCAATCTGCTCCCATAAATATAGCCCTGAAAACCTTATGAGTCAGTTCTACTCTGTCCACTAAGGTCGCTATGAATTGGCACTGACTAGACTATAATGGGTGTAGAACTGGTAAAAGGAGAGCTGATAGTACATCGACTAAGCACATGGATGCCAAATGAGTAGTTCTAATCTGGCTGTTCCATGGGAGAAAGACCTGGTGATCACATCCATAAAGATTATAGTAAAGAAAACCCCAGAGAAGTTCTACTCCATCACATGGGGTTGCTGCAAGTAAAAATAAACACAACCACACCCAACAACAACAGGATGGGTAAGGAAAACCTGAGTGGTACAAACTGTTAATATTCTTGGCAGCTAATTGAAAGAGTGGAGGTTTAAAAGGCCTGGTGATCTATGGCCACAAACCCAGACACTGGAAGCCCTATGGAGCACACAAACACGTTTGCCGAGAGTCGGAACCAACCTACTAGCGAGTAGTTTCAGGATGGGTAAAATTGAAAAAGACAAAGATTTGGTGAGGATATGAAAAAAATTGAAATCTCACACACTGCTGATAAGATTGTGAAATTTTATGGTGGCTTTGGAAGATAGTTTTGAAGTTCTTTAAAATGTTTAGGTTATTATAAAACTCTACTGCCATCTAGTAGTTAGGGTTCCCAAGACTGTAAATCTTTATGGGAACAGACAGCCTCATATTTCTCCCAAGGAGTACTTGCAATTAGCAGTTCAATGCTTATTCCACAGCCCCACCACGACTCCTTTAAAGTTACTATATGAGCTAGTAATTCCACTCCTGGGTACATACCCCGAAGTATTGAAAACATATCTACACAAAAAGTTGAATATTCAGAATAGCATTCATTTTTCAATATAGCCCCCAAATGGAAACAACCCAATGTCTATCAACTGATTTTATACATCTATACAGTGGAATATAATTCAGCAATATAAAGAAGAAATTCCAACCAAAACCAAACTCCCTGCTATCAATTTATAGAGACCTTACAGGACAAGGTAGAACTGCCCTGTGCACTTCCGAATTGTAAGTCTTTAGGGAGTGGAAAGCCTAACTTTTCTCCTATGAAGAAATGCTTGACCTTGCTTTCGAAATGCTTGATCTTGCAACATTTACCCTATATAATCCAGTAGAAACTGACCTGAATATCAGCCGAGCCACCTAATTTTACCACAAAAACTGCATTAAAAATGTGCTGAAAAACCCGGCTTATACATGAGTATATATGGTAGCTTACTGCACCACCAGGTTCCTCATAAAGAAATAAAGTATTGATATGTGTTACAACAGATGAAACTTGGAAACATACTAAGTGAAAAAGGTCAGACACAAAAGGCAACATGTGTTATACCATATACACAAACAATTAACAACAAGCAAATACATAGAGACAAAAAGTGTTATCACTGGTTTCTGGGGGAATGATAACACCTTAATCAAACTGCTAAAAGAAACAGTGTTTCTTTGGAAGTGATGAAAATGTTGAGAAATTAGTGGTGATATTTGCATGTGTCTGTGAGTACAGTGAAGACCATGAAACCGCAAAATTTAAAAGAGTGAATTGTACAGTATGTAAATTATATCTGAAAAGCTATTATAAAAAAATCTACTTCAAGGCCACTGTGATGAAGTGTCTACACAAAGCACACCTATTTAGGTACCAGTAATATTATACTCAGGCTTACTGTTAAATTATTGACAAAGTACAGATGATTACCTCATTAAAGGTTCCCTCTGATCACGCATCAACCTCATTGTAACTTCACAAGCTCTTCGAAAAAGACCTTCTGTTCCCATAGGACCCATTCCATTAACCATATTATGAGTCAGGCGAAATGGTACAATTTCTGGAACTTCAAAGGTTTCTCCCTAAAAAGAATAATTTTATTAAAAAGTAACTTCATTTAGAAATTTAAAGTCTTTACTTGGAGAATGTAGAATTGCACACCTATGGTTTTTTATCGGAGGGTAAAAATGCTCTTCAAAATACTTCTATTTGTACTTATGTTAGAGAGCTGTATCACGAAAGTGCCAATATGTTGGCCCTTGCTTTTGTACAACTAAAGCTACAATTCCTTAGGTAAGATCTAGAACTGTTTCCCAAAGTGAGCAAACAATACTACCTCCTGGGGGGGGCAAGTGCAGGATCAATCCAAGGCAGCTGCAAAAGTAGATACCAACACTTTATTTGGAACGTTACTTGTGTAATGGGTTACATATTGGGGTGCTAACAGCATATTGAAAATACCTTTCTCTGCTGGAGAAAGATAAAGCTTTCTCTGCCCATAAGGATTTATATTCTGGAAACCCACAAGGGGCAGTTAGTTCTACTCCATCCTATAGGGTCACTGTGAGTTGGAATCAACTCAATAGCAGTGAGATGTTTTCAGTTTTGCATTTTATCCTGCATTATGGGCTATAATACAAGTGTTTAATTGCCCAAAAGTGGTTAAGTGGGATGCCTTGAGCACCTATCAGTAATGTTCCACGTGCTAACCCACAGAGCTACTACTGAGTGCCTTTGGGCTGAGGCTCACTGGCAGATTGGGGTACCTCAGGGCACTTATAGATGAGTTAAGAGTGTTGTAACACTTGCCTAAGTAGGGCCAACGTGTCTGTGGGCACTGCTGAGAAGAGGCTAGATTAATCGAAGAACTATATATGGAGTCATATCTAATCCTTAGTAACGCCCCTGTGTATTGTCTGTGAGTTCTGTGTGCCACTGCAGCAAATTATAAAATACAGTAGAAAACTAAGAGTGTCGTGGGGAAGACAGCTAGTGTCAGATTGGAAAACGGGTTGGAGGGTGGAGTCATGTCTGACCTCTGTCTCAGGAATCAGCCATGGGTTGGTGATCTTGATCGTCCCTCCCTCTGACGGTAGAGGATAGGCCTGATGCTGCCCCCACACCATTTTTATACCATCATATTAAACTACCTCCTCTCTTAACCAAGTCTCAGTAAAATGAACTGGCCTGCCAGTGTTCATATAATTGAGTCTGAACTTGAACCTATTCTTTTGAACTTCAATTTCCACTATGTCACTCTTCCTCTGTTTTAGGCTCAGGGATTCACTGCTCAAAAAGAACAAAATGCTCAAGGCAGAGTCTATGACTTAAAGTGCTACTAAGTGTATCTAGGAAGAATGGTTAGTAAGTAAAGGATACTGGAAGAAAACATTAAGTCAATATTGCATACCTTATTGAAGAGACAGTTGAAATCTACATGTACACATTCACCAGTCAAAGAATCAAAGAGAATGTTTTCTCCATGACGGTCTCCAAGCCCCAGGATATAGCCAACCATTGACATGACTGCTGTGGAACGGCAATATGCTGATCTGCTACTATACCTAAAGGAAATACAATGCCAAATACAATGTCAAATATCCTTAATGCCTCTGAAATATTAAAACTAAATGTGCAACCATAAAAGTATAGTATATTCTTGGTAATTTACCATGATGTTGGATCAGGAAAGGTTCTAAGAAACCACTCATGAAAAATTGGAGGATGTCTAGGCAGAAGAAATTCCTGGAATACTTTGAGTTTTTCAGATAATGCTGCTGCCTTTGGTAGCATGCACTGGCGAAGTTCCTTTCCTGTCATGTACACTCCTGCAAAGCAAAATGACTCCTAGTAATCACCAACCCAAAGGAAAAAAGTGGTGATTTTTCTTGTTGCAGTTAAAATAGGCAAGAAAGTATTCAAAATATCACTCAAAATCAGGAACAGTTAAACTTTTTAAATTGTGCACGGATATTATTATCTGATATTACTATGAAACACCTTACATTCCCTTAATACAGTCAAAGGGAAACCTCATATGAGTGAAAATTAATGTCGACCAAAACCAGTGTTTTGAAATCAGAATTCAAAAACCACAATGCAGCATAAATATTGTCATATAGAGTAGTGTTCACTGAAAACTACTACAGTAACTTACAGCGGTGCTCTGATTATTTATTCTATGTGTAGGCTATCCTGTAAGATTTATAGTATTCCTGACTCCTAAATTAATCCTGTATAATCCAAATAATCTGGGAAAGCAAAACTTCCCCAACTGATACTTCCCAGCTCTCCAAAATCTTAGCAATGTGAACCTCAACATGTTACTTAACCTGTCTGGCATTAGCTTACCTCTAAGATAGGAGTAATCGGGCTTATTAAAAATACTAAAAAAATAATGTATACATCATACTTAGCACAATGGCATACTATAATAGCATATCAATATTACTTTTTACTTCATTCTGCTAACTTGATAAATTTATTTATCCCTATCATATGTATTTTATTTCGAAATAATTTTAGACTTGTAAAAAGTTGCCAACTGTTTTACCACCCTGCTCTAGTCCAGGGTCTAATGCACTCACACTGCATTCTGTTGTTGTTCTTTCTCTCTGAGGAGGACGTGTCATGAAAAATCTGGGAAATGCCTCAGTCTTTCATGACCCTGACATTTTTAATGACTTCTGGCCAGTTATATTTTTGTTTCCATATTGTGAAGTTACTATTTACCATTCTTGTAATTAATAAGAAACTGTGGGGAGATACTTTGAGTCTCTGCAAATAGCCTACTTCTCAACATACTTTTAAAAGTCCACTAATTTTGGCATTTGTTGATTTTTATCTATGACAGTTACTACTGTGTTGTTTGCCAATTAGTGATTTCCTATCGATTAATTCCTTTGCTCTTATTTATTTCAATTTTACTATAAGAACTGTTTCGTCTCTCTAATTATTTATTTACTCAAGTATTTATTTGAATTAGTATAGACTCATAAGATTTCTTTTGTTCCAACTGATAAAATCCATTATTATTATTATTTGTTTTTTTATTTGTTTTTTTTTGTTTTTTTTGCAGTGAGTGAGTGAGTCAGTGAGTGAATGAGACAGTGAGTGAGTGAGGCAGTGAGAGTGAGGCAGTGAGACAGTGAGAGAGTGAGGCAGTGAGAGAGTGAGACAGTGAGAGAGTGAGGCAGTGAGAGAGTGCGGCAGTGAGAGAGTGAGGCAGTGAGGGAGTGAGGCAGTGAGAGTGAGTCAGTGAGAGAGTGAGAGAGTGAGGCAGTAAGAGAATGAGACAGTGAGAGAGTGAGACAGTGAGAGAGTGAGGCAGTGACAGAGTGAGGCAGTGAGAGAGTGAG